TTTTTTTCTTTACCTGGGAAATCAAATAAAAAACATTTTTTTTCCCGCAGTCCCTCTCAGAAATTTTTGAAAACTCAAAAAATGTCTCGAAGGTCATAGTATCTCTCAGGAAAGATCAATTCACCTCAGCACTCATCTAGATGTGCCGAGCAAAGTTAGCTCTGTTTAAATCAAATGCTAAAATTTGAAGAAAATTTGTTTGTGAGTTACAACAATTTTCACTTAATAACCTGAGCAAATAAAAATAAAAAATGTATTAGAATTATCTAGCACAGAAAAAAACTTCTTTGGATAATGATAGAGTTGGACAGCCTGAACACAAATGACCTCCAAGAACACTATTTCACTAGTCTTATTATATCAGACTTTTTCCCAGGATACAAATATAAACTTCCTACAAATAGAATATTACGTTTTCCTTTTTGATCATCCACCAAGAATATGAACAGGTTGTGTGTTTCTTAGTTATCCATAGTAATGATGGTGATGCAGACTCTATGATTATCGAGAAACTGTAAGTGCTGGTAGGAAACATACCATTTTTAGCACAAAAATCATTCTTGTCTTCCAGCCTATACTTTGCTATTCTGATAAAACTGTAGTAACTAACAGTTGCAGCGGATGGTTAAGACATATTAGCCGAGACAAATAGGTTGACGGATTAGAAAAACTGAGGGCTGAAAATAGGCTTCTTGCTCTGCAGGTGCTGGGAAAGGACATCAGAAAACGGGGCATAATGTTAATCTTTTTATGAAGAGATATAGCACAAATACTGCCCGTCCTGTTTTTCAATGTGTTCTATAATATCAGCTGGTGAGTCGAATGCCCCTAGGAGGCGCGCAAATCTTTTGGGGATGATTACAACCCATCATAAGAAATATGTAGGCTCGACTTACTTTGATTAGCTTCAACTGCCACTGTTCGTTTTGGTAGATACACAGGTATCAAGACTAAAACAATAGTTGCTGCTAATAGTAAACCCAATATCCCAAGACAGCATAAGGCAATTAATGGAACTGCGGAAAGCCAGCTACGATTTTTTCTAGAAGAAATTACAGTATTAATTACTTAATCCATATTTGTGCTAATGAGTTACATACATTGCAGTCGATAATGGCAGCACAGCAGGGACTGCCTCAGGTGGTGGATTCTGGTGATACATTATCCAGTCGTAGGTTTGTATTTATATAATGTTCTTGAAAGTTGCTTATTTATAGCCGATAAGAAATTACTATTAAAAGAGCCGACCTACCTTTGCTTACTGCTTGAATAATACTTTTATAAACTACTCCTGCTTAAATCGGGTATACTCGTAGCTTTTATTAGGCGATCGGGGAGAGTGAATTATAGATCGCCTGTCATGCGTATTACCTTTTTTTCTCGACTTTTATAAATGTATATTGCTGCTTATAGGAAGATACTTGTAGGGATGCCGTCAAACGGTTACTGCTTGCATCGCTTCAAGGGCTTCGTATATTTGGATACATTCATTCACAGAAACGAAAAAAAAATTAAGAAACGATGGAGAGTGAACAAGAGATATTTTTCCTACATAAAAGAAGAGAACGGAAAAGAACGATACGATTTTAATATTTGACATGTAGAGTCTCATGCTTTAGTTGGAATAACCGCTTTGGAGAAATCACGGAAATAATAGAGAAGGCAAAAGTATAGAAAGTATTTCAAGCGATCTAAAATGTTAAGATGAGATTTTGTAAAGACATTACATTAGGAATAGCCTCTGTGACAGTTCACAATTAGCGTTCTTTCAACGGGAACGATTCAATAGTTCGTGTTTATTGAATGGGAACTGCTTTTCAGTTTCGGAACTGAAAAATTCGTGGATTAACTTGGCTTAAATTCATCAGTTGATTTTTGAGCTAAATTCTTTCACTGAGTAGAAAAATAAAACAAAATAAAAATTTAATCTGCAAGCTAGTCTGAAAAACGACAAACTTTTAGAAATGTTCGCGAGGGCGTTCTGACGTACACCCTGACGCCAGTCAAGGTGCCAGTTAAGGACAAAGAGATGCAAAAAGTTAAAATCGCGCCCATCGGGTTGCGTGACCTGTGCATAGTCAAGACTATGGTGAATTAATTCATTTTGAAGAGCTATTTTTGTCTATCGACTCATACATTTCAAATCTTAGAGTGAAAAACAGAAAAGAAAAAATCTCAAAATACTGAAAAATTGACTTATCGTCGGTTTTTTGAACACTTGTCGCAAAACTTTTATAACTCAGCCATTTTTGGATATGACTTTTTAAAGACTTTTTCTTATCCCTAAAATTGAATGGAGAATCGAATGAAAACATAAAAAAGAGATGTTAATTTTTTCCATGTTTTGCTTTCTGTAGCAAGCTGCTCGATGAACTCGTGCAACGTCTCTTAACTCAACTTCTAACGATTAATCTCTACTCCGGTAACTCACCTGATTGGCTGTCTGCTGTTTTTCTTGTTCTGTAGAACTAGTTTTTTGAGCATCAGAATACCCACGTTTTTCACGTATTTCTCGTTTTGTTCCGTCATTAATTATCGTATATACCAGAAAAAATTCTGCTGATGCTAAAGAAAGTTTAAAAATTTATGACGAAAAGCGTATCTTGATTTTCAGAATAGGAGAGAAAATTCGGATTTCCACCTTTTTTCTATTTAAAAGATGAATAGTGTATTGTAACCCTCACT